AATATTATTCATAATTATCGAAAATTATGTCCTTATATTATATAATACATAACATAACGAAGACAACAACCACTACGAAGACGATTATACTATGCATTCGTGTACGCGGGCCTTTGCTTCTCTCCATACTCTAACATCCCGGTGTGTGTTTTACGAGACCAGACTTCGATGCCGCATTAACAGTTCATAGATAATAAAAGACGATGATTATTCCATGGGCCTGAAGGAGTGATGTCTTCGTTTTCAATTAATCGATATCACATTACGCTATACGCTATTCTAAATGAGAAAAATAACTTTTAAACGAGACGTTACCTACGTCCCGAAAGGTATATAGAATTCAAACGTCTATTAATCTATGCTAACTACGTTTATAAAGTTATTTATTGTTCACTACGAAAGTTAGTTTTAAGATTAAACATATTGCATCTTTAAATTTATATAAACATATATATTATATTAAATAAAACATATAAAACGGATGGATGTTAGTGAAAAGTTAGAAGTGTTCGTACGTGAAAATGTTTAGCGACAACACGGTTCTCGTTACGGCATACCCGATTGTTAAATAACTACTAGCGACATCTCCGGCTATCATCATAGTTATATTTGTTTATAAACTGTGTCTGTGTGTCTGTGTGGTGTTGTGACCTGCTGAGAAGAATAATAAAAATAAAAAAAAATAAAAAAACATTAAAAAAATGGCAGATACCGCAGTTGCATCTGAAACACCGGCTCCGGCTACGCCTGCGAAGAAACCGAAAGCGTCAGCGGCCGCCGCCGCCGCTGCGGCCGGCTCGAAGAAACCTAAGGCTAAACCTACTCATCCCAAGACAGCTGAAATGGTAAACAACGCCATCAAAGAGTTGAAGGAGCGCAGCGGTTCATCGTTACAGGCTATCAAGAAATACATCGCCGCTCAATATAAGGTCGATACGGAGAAATTGGCACCGTTCATAAGAAAATATCTCAAGAGCGCCGTCGAGTCCGGTGCCCTGATACAGACCAAGGGGAAGGGTGCTTCCGGTTCATTCAAATTGGAATCTAAATCATCAGCAGCCAAGAAACCGTCGTCGGGTGGTGGTGGTGGTGGTGGTGGTGGTAAGGCAAGTGGTGGTTCCGCCGGAACCGGTAGGGCTGCAGCTTCGTCGGCATCCGTTAAATCTAAGAAAGCCGCCGCAACGGCATCGGCGGTGGCAGCGAAGGGAGGTAAGAAAGGCGGTTCCGTAGCTTCGTCGGCTGCATCTTCGCCGTCCAAAGCTAAAGCATCGGCGGCAGCGGCCAGGGATAAGAAAGCGGCCGCAGCCGCAGCAGCAGCTGCCAAAAAGAAGCCGGCCGCCGCTAAGAAAGGTTCCGCAGCCGCGAACGCCTCTGCCGCATCCTCCGCGACAGCTTCTAAGGCGAAAGGTGCAGCATCCAAGGCCAAGAAGAGCGCCAAACCTCCCACTAAGAAACCTAAAGCCCCGAAACCGAAGAAAGCATCCGCCGGTACCCCGAAATCGAAACCCGCAGCTAAGAAAGCAGCAGCAGCAGCGAAAAAGTAATAATTTTTGTATTGCTTTATCTATCGCGACGGCGGCAGCATCGGCACCGTGAGTGGTGAGCGCGCTCGGGGGTTGTAGACTTACGATGATACAAGTTCATTATAGATAAGAGATTCTAGATCATCGGAATGTCTCTCGGCGTCCCCCCGTACTCTTCAACGTTCGAGGAATCTACGAGAGTGACGTTCATCTTACAGGCACGCGTCGCAGATACGAAAGAAAAGAAAAAAAAAAAATACATAATATATAAAAAGCCCTTTTCAGGGCTAACATATATTTCATTATGAACCCAATCATGTCGGAAACTTAGATTTCGACACAACGTTGTGTTCTCGTTTTCCGAATGACAAAGATCGTCTCCTATAATAATAATAATAATAAATAATAAAATATATAAATAATAATCGAATACAAGATAACATTCACGAAAATAGCGAACAATTCAGTAATAATATTATAATACGATAATAACAAAGTCAGTGGTGGCCAATTGGTTAAAAGGCCGCCCGCCTCTCATGCATGAGGGCGCGGGTTCGACCCTGGCAAGAATGACCAATGTGATTTTTCCAAGTTATATATTATGTACTTTCTTAGAGTATTTAGACATCACTCACTGATTAATGTTGATTCCCAAAGAGGGTTGTTGATATCAGGCAGGCGGCCGGTCATACATATAAACAAATAGCCAAATTATTCTTATAACATGTAAAACAGACCCTGGCTACAGCTGGAAAATTGCCAGGTAGAAGAAGAATAACAATACTGAATACATAGTATTAGACATATTAAACATTCTTGTTATAAATAAATAAAGATATTATATTATGTTGTTAGTATTATAGAAAATATTAGTTACATTGTACATAGCAGTACATAATTTTGATAATAATAATAATGAAAAACACCATATAAAACATAATAATGTAACACTGGTGACAATTATTTTCTTTTAACTCACTTTTGGAAACCTTTATGACTCTTGTACCATTTACGATCGAGTAATCGAAATCTTCAATAAAACTATAAGGAATGTATAAAACTATACTTTAGTACTATAACTATAAGGAATATGTAAAACTAAACTGTGTTCAAGAAACGGTAAATAAGAATTTATTAGCTGCACAACATAATATTAAAGAAAAAGGATATCGTATATAAATTTAAGTATGAACAATATATATATTATAGTATATATATATATATATATATATATATATATATATATATATATATATATATATATATATATATATATATATATATATAATGCTTTTCCCGCATCTGCTGTGCCTAATAATTCAGATATTGACTAAAGCAATTCATTTGTTTTTTTTTGTCTGTTTTCAAAATATATGTAATTAATGAATATCTTAATTACACCATATGAATTGATAAATTCCGTTTTTTATTTGATATACTTACGCAGTTTATTGAAATTTCATCGCGTACGATTATTTCATTGAATTTCAAGACAAAATACTATTATTTTTTTTTAGTCTATAGTACGATCCTCTAAAAAAAATGTCAACACTGATTGGAAAACCCTCCCGCTTCTCTCCGCGTCTACTTTAGCTCGTCATTCGTCTATATCCCCACCCCACCGATACGTGTAGACGTATATATAGTAAAGAGCCGCGCTACGGTTTTTTTAAATTACTCTCTGCCAGTCGCGTGTGTTACGTTATTATATCAAAAGGTTAATATATTCGCAACAATGTCTGGACGTGGTAAAGGTGGTAAAGTTAAGGGAAAGGCGAAGTCTCGTTCTAACCCGTGCAGGTCTACAGTTCCCCGTCGGTCGTATACACAGATTGCTGAGGAAAGGAAACTACGCGGAGCGCGTCGGTGCCGGTGCTCCCGTTTATCTCGCTGCCGTTATGGAATATCTTGCTGCTGAAGTACTCGAATTGGCCGGTAACGCTGCCAGAGACAACAAGAAGACCAGAATCATACCTAGACATCTTCAGCTGGCCATAAGGAACGACGAAGAGTTGAACAAGCTTCTATCCGGTGTGACCATAGCTCAGGGTGGTGTACTACCAAACATCCAGGCCGTATTATTGCCCAAGAAGACGGAGAAGAAGGCCTAAAGGATTATCATTGATGATCATCGGACCGCACCACCACCACCACCACCACCATAATCATCATCATCATCATCGTCGTCTCCGTCTACATATATACTAATGTAATGGGTATATAATATGTAATGGTTGATGTGATGTTTGTTTGTATGCATGTATACATAGTCATACATCCAATTGATGTTTATTTAAAAGGCCCTTTTCAGGGCCACAAAATAAATCGTTGTTTAACGTATATATTTTATATAATATACGAACAGTTCCATCGATACGAGACGTCAATTATAATAAGTAATATTATTATGTATTATTATTTAACGTATGTATATGAAACTACCTAAGTATATAATTAATTACATATTATACAATTTCTTTTAAAAGCAATATCATGATAATAATAAATTAAATAACTGATAGTAATCTACTTTTCAAAGTCGATAGATAATCTCATAATGCTATTATTTATTATTAGTTTTCAAAATAAACAAAAAATAACACAAAGCATTTAATGACCGAACGGTAATTAGTGTTAAGTACAGGTAATAAAATAATAATAATAGGAAACACTGACATCATAATTTTTATGACTCTTCTATTGTTATTATTAAGTACATACTCTTTATTTAATAGACTGTTTTTACATACTCTTATTTTATGATTATTATGTTATGATTATTATTTTCAAACCGAAACCCCCCTCCGCCACCACCCTCCCCCCCCCCCCCCACCCCGCAGACGGAAAAAACACATCGGACCCCACGATCGGAACCGACGCTTCCTATTGGTCGGTCCCCGGTGTGGACGTGCGTGCTCGATACGTAACTACATACTTGAGCATAATGATACACACTAGACCCTGGGTTGGATATTTTTTTACAGAGAGGGAGAAGAGAGAGAGAGATATTTCTCATTTCATTCCGTCACCGTCCTTCGTCCGGAAAGTCGCTTGTATCAAAGCGACTCTCTCCGGTCGAGGTCCTCACTCAATGTGTATTCCGAACATCGGAATATTCGACTGGAGCTCGCTGCTTCGTCACGGCCTTCGTTCCGACACTTTAATTGTGAAGTGTAGTGTGATTGAATAGTGTTGCAGTGTTCAGTGTTTTAAGTGTAGTGCTGAGTGTTTTATTACAGTGCTGTGTCATTTTAGTACATTTAAGTGCGTGTACTCAGTGCGCGTCGCGTCAAGCCAGACGTGCTAGGGCCGCGCCCCGTCACCCGTACGAGGTAGGTTGCTAGGCACACACCCCGCCAACACCAGGCGGGACAGTTAGGCTTTTAAGTAGGTACACATCTCCCTGCCGCAAGGCAGGGAGGATTTACGTTTGCGCTTTCTCTCTTTTTTCCTTTTCTCTTTTCCCTCCGGGTCAAAATGGACCCCAAGAATATTAAGATGTCCGACCTGCTTGAGTATCTCAAGCAGGACTACCCCGAGGCCCTCTTAGGCTTCGCTTCCAAGTCCCTGGTAGGCGCAGCCCGCCCTTCCAACGACGCCTCCGATATGGAGTACGATTCTGCCTCCTCGGAGGAATCCTTTTCCGGCTCCGAGTCCGGGTCTCGCGGCTCGGACTCAGAGGAGGATGCGACAGGCTTCCAACCTGTCGTATCTAAGAAAAAGAGACGAGCGAAAGCTTCCCAAGAGTCGGATGACGCAATCGAAGCGTCACAACGCGCAGCGTCCCCACGCTCAGCGTCCCCCCGCTCTCCCACCCCCGTAACGGCCGCGTCCGTTAAAACCGTTGGCCCCCCCGCTACCCGCACCGCTCCGAAACGGGTAGCGTCTAGCAATACGTCGCGCCCCGCTTCCCCGGCTGGGAACAGCGCTCGCTCCCCCCCCCGCTTCGCCTATTGCAAAGCGTTCTCGGCCCGTCGCGGCCAACGCCCCCGCCTCCGCCTCACCTGTCGTAGACGCTACGACGGTCCCCCCCCCGTGCGAAAGCGCCGCCGCCTCTTTTTATTAAAGAAAAAGAGAAGTGGGATAGTCTGTCCCAATCATTTATCGAATCCAAGATGCACTTCACGTCGGCCCGTCCGACCAAGGACGGAATTAAAGTTCAGGTTTCTTCCGCGGACGTCCACCGTAGGATGACGGCCCTCCTGCGGCAGCGTGGTATTGGATACCACACTTACGCACTAGAGGAGGAGCGTCGCCTTACAGTGGTGATCCGCGGGATGCCATGCGAAATCCCAACGGAATCCATACTAAGTGACCTTAAGTCACAAGGTTTCCCGGTCCAGGCAGTACACCGGATGTACCGCCCGACCAATAAGAAAGCCTTTAATATGGTGCTTGTCCACTTGGACAACACCAAAGAGGCAAAAGCCATTTTCAACGTAAACACGGTCTGCTACCTGTCCGGACTACAGGTAGAGCTCCCCCGCGGCCGCGGCATCCCTGGGCAGTGTCATCGCTGCCAATGCTACGGCCACTCCGCTAGGTTCTGTTACGCACGCCCGAGATGCGTAAAATGCTTAGGCGACCACGCGACGGTCGACTGTGAGAGGAAAACTCCCTCCGAGGACATCCCTCCGAGCTGTGTCCTGTGCCAGCAATCGGGCCACCCTGCGAACTATCGCGGGTGCCCGAAAGCACCGCGTAGGGCAAAGCGAGGAGGGAAGAAATCCTCGCATCAGCCGAAGGCTCATAAAGCCTCTGATGCGCCGGCTTCTGCCCCTCAGGCCCCTAAGGCCCCTCAGGCACCAAAGGCCCCTCAGGCACCTAAGGCCCCTCAGGCACCCAAGGCCCCACAGGCCCCAACCGAAAACGCTTGGTTTAGGAACAAACCAGCAGTACCGACCGCCCCGGTACCCGCGCCGCCAGTCGCTCCTGTGTCAGCGACCGCGAAGGAACAAGACGGAGGGAACTCTAACCCTCTGTCCTTCCTCAGCGGACTCTCCGGGAGGTTCGATCCCTCCGAACTAATCATATTCGCAAAAAAAGTCAGAGCCTGCAAGAATAACAAAATGGGGCGGGTTATGGCTTTCGTCGAACATGCCGAATTAGTCGGATCGATATTCAATATTAATACTTCTTTTTAAATGGCGTCCATACTAAATAGATTAAAACCCCGCTCTCTGACCATCGTTACGTTCAACGCTAACGGTCTCACCCGTCAAATCGATCAGGTGCGCGACTTCGTAGTCAAGCACCAAGTAGATATTCTACTCGTTCAAGAGTCTTTCTTAAAACCTAGTAGTAAGAATCCCAAGATTGCCAATTTTAATATGGTAAGAAATGACAGAGCTTTCTCTTCTAAGGGAGGCACTGTCATTTATTTCAAAAGATCGCTACACTGCACTCCATTAGACCCCCCGCCTCTTAATAGCCTAGAGGCCTCAGTATGCCAGGTAAGTATGACCGGCCATCAGCCCATTACCCTTGCTTCAGTCTACCGTCCTAGCAACTTAACCATTGATGAGAACGATATTAAATCTCTTCTCTCAATGGGAAACGCCACCATCTTGGCTGGCGATTTTAATGCTAAACATCCCAGCTGGAACTCCATTTCATACAACTCTAGCGGTCAAATTCTCAACCGTCTGTCAAACAGACCTGATTTCGATTTTTATATCGCTGCTCCCTCCACGCCTACTCGCTTCTCGAGTATAGATAATCATAGACCGTCAGTACTAGACATAGCTCTCTTAAAGGGCGTAACTCTACAGTTACGCTCCATCGAGTCTCTATCCGAGCTTGATTCCGACCACCGACCAGTCCTAATCCAGCTAGGACCGCCCCCCGATGCGGCGCCCCTGACAAAGAGGATCATCGATTGGAAACAGCTCTCCGAGCGACTCCAGTCGTTGGATTCTCCGCACCTCGATCAAATCCCAGCCAACATCTCCTCGGTCGAGGATGCGCACTCAGCTTGTGTAGGTTTAGGGAACTTTATCGATGACAAGGTTGAGGGATGTACGAGGGAGATCTTGGACAGCCATAATGGCCGACGAGAAATCCCTCCGGATCTTCGCGACCTTATCAACGAAAAGAACGCCGCGAACAGAGCTTACGACGCGGTCCCCACCCCCAGGAATAGGCGTAAACTACGTCGTCTCGCGAGGCAGGTGAAGAGTTCCTTCGCCGACCTCCGTAATGAAAACTGGGACAGGAAGCTCTCTTCTATCACCCCCTCGCATCAGGCCTTCTGGTCTCTGCAAAGGACGATGAAGAGAGATACTGTCGCGGCTATGCCTCCTCTAGTACGTTTTGACGACCCCACCCCTGCCTTCGACGACAGAGACAAAGCGGAATGCTTAGCCGATAGTCTAGAGAGCCAATGTAGTCCTAGTAGCCAGCCGACTGATCCTGACCACATCCGTCATGTGGAACAGGTTGTACGCGATAGGTCGCTTCTGCCACCAGAGGATCCACCTCTCAAAGAGACTTCTGTAGAGGAAGTCACATCAATAATAAAGGGACTAAATATTAAAAAGTCTCCAGGCCCCGATCGAATCACTAATAAAGTGATTAAACTCCTCCCACCCCGCCTCGTTCACCTACTGGTACTTATATTCAATGCTCTATTGACTGGATGCTCATTTCCGGATCAATGGAAAGAGGCCATTGTCATAGGAATTCCCAAACCGGGTAAACCTATGAACCTCCCAACCAGCTACCGTCCCATTAGTCTCCTAAGTAACTTAGGAAAGATATATGAAAGGATTGTTCTATCCCGCCTTCAAGCGGAGATAAAACGCCTGGAATTCATTCCCTATGAGCAATTCGGGTTTCAACCCCGTCACTCCTGCCCCCAACTGGTGCAACGCATAACGGAGCACATTCTTACGGGTCTAAATACCCATAGTAGGAACAGGACCGGAGCCCTATTCTTCGACGTGGCGAAGGCGTTTGACAGGGTCTGGCATGATGGATTGATGTACAAGCTATACCAATTCAAAGTGTCGGACAGGCTCGTACTAATCATACGAGACTACCTGTCGAACCGCTCCTTTCGCTACCGAGTAGAGGGGGTGCTATCGTCTCCTCGACCTATCAGAGCCGGAGTCCCTCAAGGATCTGTGCTGTCTCCCACGCTCTACTCCATATTCACTAGTGACATACCCAGGCCTCCAAACCCCACTAAGATAGCCCTCTTCGCGGATGATACCGCACTCTACACCACTCACCGGGACCCAGATATAATACACGATCGCCTCCAATCCGCTGCCACCGCCCTGGGCGAATGGTTTCGGAAATGGAGGATCGATCTAAACCCCGAGAAGAGCACGGCAGTGTACTTCAAACGGGGTCGTTATATCGACGTCCCGTGTCCCATATCCATCTTCGGTACTCCAATCCCATGGCGGAAGGAAACCAAATACCTGGGTGTGACGCTAGACAGGCAACTGTCCTTTGCATCCCACATCCGGAAGGTCAAAAACCGAGCCTCCTTTGTCCTCGGTCGTCTCTATCCTCTCCTATGCAAGCAGAGTAAGATGTCACTTAGAAATAAGATGACGTTATACAAAACTTGTATAAGACCTATTATGGCCTACTCGTGCGTAGTATTCGCCCATCGTTTTAAGAAACTAGTACCTCTCCAGGTACTCCAAAACCGCTTCTTACGTTGTATCACGGGTGCCCCGTGGTACATGCGTAACGTCGATCTACACAGAGACCTAAACCTCCCTACAATCAGGCAATACTTCAAGGAACTCTCCGTGAGGTACTTTGAAAGAGCCGCCACACATCCTAATCCTCTGGTGAAGGAAGTGACATCCTACGTCCCGAACAGATTTCACACAGGCGTTAAGAGACGACCAAAGCACGTACTCATCGATCCGGACGATGACATTACGATCTTGAATAGGGTCACCGCACGTTGACAGATAGAAATGCTAGTAGTAGTAGTAGTGGTAGGGTTACACTACACACAGATTCATACACTCACCGCTCTCGCCGGCGAGAGCGAGGTCCCCGCCTCCGCACGTCCCTCGTGAGAGGGCGTCGAAGGCCGCCGCTGGCAATCCTCCCTTCATCCACGACGTCCTAAGTTCGTGGTCCGAGCCTCACTTTAGCAGGCGCCCTTAGAACGTACGTTCCCCTGGGGGCCCTTCAGGTCCCCTCGAAACGGGTCAGTCCCGGCACTGGCCCACTCTACCGGTGACGCTGTAACAGCCGCAGGGCTAACAGCATATTCATTACAAAAAAAAAAAAAAAAAAAAATTTTTTTACAGAACAGCTTACAGTACTCCGTACCGAAAGCACCGTTGAAGTCAATCGTTGTTATAATAATATATCATATTATAATCAAACATGCCGCCTAAAACCAGCGGTAAGGCAGCCAAGAAGTCCGGCAAAGCTCAAAAGAACATCTCCAAATCCGACAAGAAGAAGAAGAAACACAAGAGGAAGGAGAGCTACGCTATCTACATCTACAAGGTTCTGAAGCAAGTGCATCCCGACACCGGTATATCAAGTAAGGCCATGTCGATCATGAACTCTTTCGTGAACGATATATTCGAACGTATAGCCGCCGAAGCGTCACGTCTCGCACACTACAACAAGAGATCCACCATAACGTCCAGGGAGGTCCAGACCTCCGTGAGATTGTTGCTGCCCGGCGAGTTGGCCAAACACGCCGTCAGTGAAGGAACGAAGGCCGTCACGAAGTACACCAGTTCCAAGTGAGGAGGAGAGGAAATGAAATGAAAAATATAATATAACAAAGGCCCTTTTCAGGGCCATTAAAAGATTCACATGAAAAGAATAATAATTTATTATTATTCCTTATATAAGTTTCAACGCATCGAACTAAACATCTCGTTGGATTTTATTATAATATTTTTAATAATTACATTAAATCTTTTAAGTTATGGCGTAGAGTTAAATATATTATATCATCGTCTTGCGATATCTATCTATGTCAGAAAATACATACTTATAATTATTAAAATCAATTTGGAATACGCGTTATAGACATTTAAATTAATATAAATGTTGTATACCTATATATTAACGTCACTGACAATATACATATATGTATATATCTATAACTACTATATACTACATATTATATTTTCTAATGCTATTACAGCGAATACGAAGACGACCGTGTCGATTTAGTGACCAGAAGCATAAACCCGAACCCCTCGAACGATCCCCGCCGACTGCCTCTACGGAGTACGTATATAAGAGCCGGTCGGTTTATTTACGGCTATCATTATAGTTCGATCCTCGCTGTAGTGCACACAACTGTAGTCCGTTGTTTCATCGCGTACCGTGTCAAAGTTATTTTTATCTCAATAATGGCTCGTACTAAGCAAACAGCTCGTAAATCAACCGGTGGTAAGGCACCACGTAAACAGCTAGCAACGAAGGCGGCCCGTAAGAGCGCACCGGCAACCGGAGGAGTCAAGAAGCCTCATCGTTACAGACCCGGTACTGTGGCACTTCGTGAGATCCGTCGCTACCAGAAGAGCACGGAACTTCTCATCCGCAAGCTACCTTTCCAACGTCTAGTGCGTGAGATAGCTCAAGATTTCAAGACCGATCTTCGTTTCCAGAGCTCCGCGGTGATGGCCCTGCAGGAGGCCAGCGAGGCGTATCTCGTAGGTCTCTTCGAAGACACGAATCTTTGCGCTATTCACGCTAAACGCGTCACTATTATGCCTAAAGATATCCAGCTAGCAAGAAGGATTCGCGGTGAACGTGCCTAAACGTCAATGAGTGTCAATTGTGTTGTTTCTTTTTATACGTGTATGTGTCTAAATAGTGGTGTGCATTTTTGAATAATGATATGTACATACACATTCAAAGATCATCATACGTAAATAAATAAACAACACGATAACAAATATTAATTAAAAAAGGCCCTTTTCAGGGCCGCATATATATCTGAATTAATAAGTTATCGTTTCATACAAACGAGAACGTCTAAACAATCATAATATTCCGTATAATATATTATTAAATAAAAATAATAATGTTAAGTTACGCATGTATGTGAGTACACAGTATTTATTTAACACATAGCTACAGTATTTAGATTATGTAAGTAAAAACACTTGTATACAATAAACTATGATGAGACGCACAAAGTTATTATCGTAAAGGATACAATAAAAATAATAAATATGTACATGCATTCTGGAAACAAAAAGTCGTGATTGTCTTAGATGGCAGGAACTTCCATTGAAATACATATGTACATATACTGCAGGTGCCTCGCCTCTCTCACTGGTCCGTTCCTTTCTGAAAACGATTTATTGATATGTATTTTATTTTATTTACATATAATTAATGAAAATAATATTTATTGCAAAATTTTACTGAGACATTACTCTAGAGACATGCGCCCGCCGCGGGGTCCGGGGAGGGCGATACAGAGTACCCTCCTCCCCCCCAACCCCGGGCCCGTCCCCGTACATAACACTCGTACGGTCCCCGTCCGCCACCCCCCCTCCCCCGCCGCACCCCGGTACACGCTATAAAAAGGACGGTTTTGTGGCCCCGTACCGATTATACTCAGAGATCTACACGCGTCGCGCATCGCGATAGGTAACAATCGTGTGTGAAGAAACAATAGCATCAACTACACTACATCATGACCGGTCGCGGTAAAGGAGGAAAGGGTCTGGGAAAAGGTGGAGCCAAGCGTCACAGGAAAGTGCTCCGTGATAACATCCAGGGCATCACCAAACCGGCCATACGTCGTCTGGCAAGAAGAGGAGGCGTCAAACGTATCTCCGGTCTGATATACGAAGAGACCAGAGGCGTACTCAAAGTGTTCCTCGAGAACGTCATCCGCGACGCGGTAACGTACACCGAGCACGCTAAGAGGAAGACCGTCACAGCCATGGACGTCGTGTACGCCCTTAAGCGTCAGGGACGCACCCTCTACGGTTTCGGCGGTTAAAGCAGCAGCAGCAGCCATATCCTCCGATATACACACACGAAGACGACGACGTGATATAAAGCAGCAAGTGAAGAGTGTGGTGGTGGTGGTGATGATGATGATTCCAGTGTGTCTCTCTCGTGTGGTGTGCAGATCATCCTATTATTCTGCCCCCCTCACCCGCCGCCCGACTGCCCGACACTTCCTTCCACTCACTCTCTCTCACTCTCCCTCACCCTCACCCTCACCCTCTCTCTACTTACTCGCTTTATATCACGACGCGTCATCGTTACTGTTGGGGAACGAGGAAAAAAAAGAAAAAAGGCCCTTTTCAGGGCCGCATATGTATCCGTTGAAATATTATAATTATTCACGATTATCGTGAATATCGAATATAGAGTTTCAACGACGGAATAATAAACTATATTATTATTTAATTTATAGTATATAATAGTAATAATATAAAAAAATCATAACTATCTCAACACACTTATGTTCTCATCACTCAAATCACCTATGGTCGTCGTCCATATCTTATGTTCTAAATATTATACACATATTACATACATAATATTTAACAGCATTTTAAATAAATTTAGATAATCGATACCTACTATTACTAATAATAATAATGATGATACACGTATGTACCTCTGTCTCTCTACGTGTACATTACATACATACATACATTGCATATTATAATATGTACAATCATCATTTCGATAATCGTATCATCATATTCATCCGCTGCTATCGTACAATTATACAATAATATTATTCATAATTATCGAAAATTATGTCCTTATATTATATAATACATAACATAACGAAGACAACAACCACTACGAAGACGATTATACTATGCATTCGTGTACGCGGCCTTTGCTTCTCTCCATACTCTAACATCCCGGTGTGTGTTTTACGAGACCAGACTTCGATGCCGCATTAACAGTTCATAGATAATAAAAGACGATGATTATTCCATGGGCCTGAAGGAGTGATGTCTTCGTTTTCAATTAATCGATATCACATTACGCTATACGCTATTCTAAATGAGAAAAATAACTTTTAAACGAGACGTTACCTACGTCCCGAAAGGTATATAGAATTCAAACGTCTATTAATCTATGCTAACTACGTTTATAAAGTTATTTATTGTTCACTACGAAAGTTAGTTTTAAGATTAAACATATTGCATCTTTAAATTTATATAAACATATATATTATATTAAATAAAACATATAAAACGGATGGATGTTAGTGAAAAGTTAGAAGTGTTCGTACGTGAAAATGTTTAGCGACAACACGGTTCTCGTTACGGCATACCCGATTGTTAAATAACTACTAGCGACATCTCCGGCTATCATCATAGTTATATTTGTTTATAAACTGTGTCTGTGTGTCTGTGTGGTGTTGTGACCTGCTGAGAAGAATAATAAAAATAAAAAAATAAAAAACATTAAAAAAATGGCAGATACCGCAGTTGCATCTGAAACACCGGCTCCGGCTACGCCTGCGAAGAAACCGAAAGCGTCAGCGGCCGCCGCCGCCGCTGCGGCCGGCTCGAAGAAACCTAAGGCTAAACCTACTCATCCCAAGACAGCTGAAATGGTAAACAACGCCATCAAAGAGTTGAAGGAGCGCAGCGGTTCATCGTTACAGGCTATCAAGAAATACATCGCCGCTCAATATAAGGTCGATACGGAGAAATTGGCACCGTTCATAAGAAAATATCTCAAGAGCGCCGTCGAGTCCGGTGCCCTGATACAGACCAAGGGGAAGGGTGCTTCCGGTTCATTCAAATTGGAATCTAAATCATCAGCAGCCAAGAAACCGTCGTCGGGTGGTGGTGGTGGTGGTGGTGGTAAGGCAAGTGGTGGTTCCGCCGGAACCGGTAGGGCTGCAGCTTCGTCGGCATCCGTTAAATCTAAGAAAGCCGCCGCAACGGCATCGGCGGTGGCAGCGAAGGGAGGTAAGAAAGGCGGTTCCGTAGCTTCGTCGGCTGCATCTTCGCCGTCCAAAGCTAAAGCATCGGCGGCAGCGGCCAGGGATAAGAAAGCGGCCGCAGCCGCAGCAGCAGCTGCCAAAAAGAAGCCGCCGCCGCCGCTAAGAAAGGTTCCGCAGCCGCGAACGCCTCTGCCGCATCCTCCGCGACAGCTTCTAAGGCGAAAGGTGCAGCATCCAAGGCCAAGAAGAGCGCCAAACCTCCCACTAAGAAACCTAAAGCCCCGAAACCGAAGAAAGCATCCGCCGGTACCCCGAAATCGAAACCCGCAGCTAAGAAAGCAGCAGCAGCAGCAGCGAAAAAAAGTAATAATTTTTGTATTGCTTTATCTATCGCGACGGCGGCAGCATCGGCACCGTGAGTGGTGAGCGCGCTCGGGGGTTGTAGACTTACGATGATACAAGTTCATTATAGATAAGAGATTCTAGATCATCGGAATGTCTCTCGGCGTCCCCCCGTACTCTTCAACGTTCGAGGAATCTACGAGAGTGACGTTCATCTTACAGGCACGCGTCGCAGATACGAAAGAAAAGAAAAAAAAAATACATAATATATAAAAAGCCCTTTTCAGGGCTAACATATATTTCATTATGAACCCAATCATGTCGGAAACTTAGATTTCGACACAACGTTGTGTTCTCGTTTTCCGAATGACAAAGATCGTCTCCTATAATAATAATAATAATAATAATAATAAAATATATAAATAATAATCGAATACAAGATAACATTCACGAAAATAGCGAACAATTCAGTAATAATATTATAATACGATAATAACAAAGTCAGTGGTGGCCAATTGGTTAAAAGGCCGCCCGCCTCTCATGCATGAGGGCGCGGGTTCGACCCTGGCAAGAATGACCAATGTGATTTTTCCAAGTTATATATTATGTACTTTCTTAGAGTATTTAGACATCACTCACTGATTAATGTTGATTCCCAAAGAGGGTTGTTGATATCAGGCAGGCGGCCGGTCATACATATAAACAAATAGCCAAATTATTCTTATAACATGTAAAACAGACCCTGGCTACAGCTGGAAAATTGCCAGGTAGAAGAAGAATAACAATACTGAATACATAGTATTAGACATATTAAACATTCTTGTTATAAATAAATAAAGATATTATATTATGTTGTTAGTATTATAGAAAATATTAGTTACATTGTACATAGCAGTACATAATTTTGATAATAATAATAATGAAAAACACCATATAAAACATAATAATGTAACACTGGTGACAATTATTTTCTTTTAACTCACTTTTGGAAACCTTTATGACTCTTGTACCATTTACGATCGAGTAATCGAAATCTTCAATAAAACTATAAGGAATGTATAAAACTATACTTTAGTACTATAACTATAAGGAATATGTAAAACTAAACTGTGTTCAAGAAACGGTAAATAAGAATTTATTAGCTGCACAACATAATATTAAAGAAAAAGGATATCGTATATAAATTTAAGTATATGAACATATATATATTATATATATATATATATATATATATATATATATATATATATATATATATATATATATATAATGCTTTTCCCGCATCTGCTGTGCCTAATAATTCAGATATTGACTAAAGCAATTCATTTGTTTTTTTTTTGTCTGTTTTCAAAATATATGTAATTAATGAATATCTTAATTACACCATATGAATTGATAAATTCCGTTTTTATTTGATATACTTACGCAGTTTATTGAAATTTCATCGCGTACGATTATTTCATTGAATTTCAAGACAAAATACTATTATTTTTTTTTAGTCTATAGTACGATCCTCTAAAAAAAATGTCAACACTGATTGGAAAACCCTCCCGCTTCTCTCCGCGTCTACTTTAGCTCGTCATTCGTCTATATCCCCACCCCACCGATACGTGTAGACGTATATATAGTAAAAAGAGCCGCGCTACGGTTTTTTTTAAATTACTCTCTGCCAGTCGCGTGTGTTACGTTATTATATCAAAAGGTTAATATATTCGCAACAATGTCTGGACGTGGTAAAGGTGGTAAAGTTAAGGGAAAGGCGAAGTCTCGTTCTAACCGTGCAGGTCTACAGTTCCCCGTCGGTCGTATACACAGATTGCTGAGGAAAGGAAACTACGCGGAGCGCGTCGGTGCCGGTGCTCCCGTTTATCTCGCTGCCGTTATGGAATATCTTGCTGCTGAAGTACTCGAATTGGCCGGTAACGCTGCCAGAGACAACAAGAAGACCAGAATCATACCTAGACATCTTCAGCTGGCCATAAGGAACGACGAAGAGTTGAACAAGCTTCTATCCGGTGTGACCATAGCTCAGGGTGGTGTACTACCAAACATCCAGGCCGTATTATTGCCCAAGAAGACGGAGAAGAAGGCCTAAAGGATTATCATTGATGATCATCGGACCGCACCACCACCACCACCACCACCATAATCATCATCATCATCATCGTCGTCTCCGTCTACATATATACTAATGTAATGGGTATATAATATGTAATGGTTGATGTGATGTTTGTTTGTATGCATGTATACATAGTCATACATCCAATTGATGTTTATTTAAAAGGCCCTTTTCAGGGCCACAAAATAAATCGTTGTTTAACGTATATATTTTATATAATATACGAACAGTTCCATCGATACGAGACGTCAATTATAATAAGTAATATTATTATGTATTATTATTTAACGTATGTATATGAAACTACCTAAGTATATAATTAATTACATATTATACAATTTCTTTTAAAAGCAATATCATGATAATAATAAATTAAATAACTGATAGTAATCTACTTTTCAAAGTCGATAGATAATCTCATAATGCTATTATTTATTATTAGTTTTCAAAATAAACAAAAAATAACACAAAGCATTTAATGACCGAACGGTAATTAGTGTTAAGTACAGGTAATAAAATAATAATAATAGGAAACACTGACATCATAATTTTTATGACTCTTCTATTGTTATTATTAAGTACATACTCTTTATTTAATAGACTGTTTTTACATACTCTTATTTTATGATTATTATGTTATGATTATTATTTTCAAACCGAAACCCCCCTCCGCCACCACCCCCCCCCCCCCCCCCCCCCACCCCGCAGACGGAAAACACATCGGACCCCACGATCGGAACCGACGCTTCCTATTGGTCGGTCCCCGGTGTGGACGTGCGTGCTCGATACGTAACTACATACTTGAGCATAATGATACACACTAGACCCTGGGTTGGATATTTTTTTTACAGAACAGCTTACAGTACTCCGTACCGAAAGCACCGTTGAAGTCAATCGTTGTTATAATAATATATCATATTATAATCAAACATGCCGCCTAAAACCAGCGGTAAGGCAGCCAAGAAGTCCGGCAAAGCTCAAAAGAACATCTCCAAATCCGACAAGAAGAAGAAGAAACACAAGAGGAAGGAGAGCTACGCTATCTACATCTACAAGGTTCTGAAGCAAGTGCATCCCGACACCGGTATATCAAGTAAGGCCATGTCGATCATGAACTCTTTCGTGAACGATATATTCGAACGTATAGCCGCCGAAGCGTCACGTCTCGCACACTACAACAAGAGATCCACCATAACGTCCAGGGAGGTCCAGACCTCCGTGAGATTGTTGCTGCCCGGCGAGTTGGCCAAACACGCCGTCAGTGAAGGAACGAAGGCCGTCACGAAGTACACCAGTTCCAAGTGAGGAGGAGAGGAAATGAAATGAAAAATATAATATAACAAAGGCCCTTTTCAGGGCCATTAAAAGATTCACATGAAAAGAATAATAATTTATTATTATTCCTTATATAAGTTTCAACGCATCGAACTAAACATCTCGTTGGATTTTATTATAATATTTTTAATAATTACATTAAATCTTTTAAGTTATGGCGTAGAGTTAAATATATTATATCATCGTCTTGCGATATCTATCTATGTCAGAAAATACATACTTATAATTATTAAAATCAATTTGGAATACGCGTTATAGACATTTAAATTAATATAAATGTTGTATACCTATATATTAACGTCACTGACAATATACATATATGTATATATCTATAACTACTATATACTACATATTATATTTTCTAATGCTATTACAGCGAATACGAAGACGACCGTGTCGATTTAGTGACCAGAAGCATAAACCCGAACCCCTCGAACGATCCCCGCCGACTGCCTCTACGGAGTACGTATATAAGAGCCGGTCGGTTTATTTACGGCTATCATTATAGTTCGATCCTCGCTGTAGTGCACACAACTGTAGTCCGTTGTTTCATCGCGTACCGTGTCAAAGTTATTTTTATCTCAATAATGGCTCGTACTAAGCAAACAGCTCGTAAATCAACCGGTGGTAAGGCACCACGTAAACAGCTAGCAACGAAGGCGGCCCGTAAGAGCGCACCGGCAACCGGAGGAGTCAAGAAGCCTCATCGTTACAGACCCGGTACTGTGGCACTTCGTGAGATCCGTCGCTACCAGAAGAGCACGGAACTTCTCATCCGCAAGCTACCTTTCCAACGTCTAGTGCGTGAGATAGCTCAAGATTTCAAGACCGATCTTCGTTTCCAGAGCTCCGCGGTGATGGCCCTGCAGGAGGCCAGCGAGGCGTATCTCGTAGGTCTCTTCGAAGACACGAATCTTTGCGCTATTCACGCTAAACGCGTCACTATTATGCCTAAAGATATCCAGCTAGCAAGAAGGATTCGCGGTGAACGTGCCTAAACGTCAATGAGTGTCAATTGTGTTGTTTCTTTTTATACGTGTATGTGTCTAAATAGTGGTGTGCATTTTTGAATAATGATATGTACATACACATTCAAAGATCATCATACGTAAATAAATAAACAACACGATAACAAATATTAATTAAAAAAGGCCCTTTTCAGGGCCGCATATATATCTGAATTAATAAGTTATCGTTTCATACAAACGAGAACGTCTAAACAATCATAATATTCCGTATAATATATTATTAAATAAAAATAATAATGTTAAGTTACGCATGTATGTGAGTACACAGTATTTATTTAACACATAGCTACAGTATTTAGATTATGTAAGTAAAAACACTTGTATACAATAAACTATGATGAGACGCACAAAGTTATTATCGTAAAGGATACAATAAAATAATAAATATGTACATGCATTCTGGAAACAAAAAGTCGTGATTGTCTTAGATGGCAGGAACTTCCATTGAAATACATATGTACATATACTGCAGGTGCCTCGCCTCTCTCACTGGTCCGTTCCTTTCTGAAAACGATTTATTGATATGTATTTTATTTTATTTACATATAATTAATGAAAATAATATTTATTGCAAAATTTTACTGAGACATTACTCTAGAGACATGCGCCCGCCGCGGGGTCCGGGGAGGGCGATACAGAGTACCCTCCTCCCCCCCAACCCCGGGCCCGTCCCCGTACATAACACTCGTACGGTCCCCGTCCGCCACCCCCCCTCCCCCGCCGCACCCCGGTACACGCTATAAAAAGGACGGTTTTGTGGCCCCGTACCGATTATACTCAGAGATCTACACGCGTCGCGCATCGCGATAGGTAACAATCGTGTGTGAAGAAACAATAGCATCAACTACACTACATCATGACCGGTCGCGGTAAAGGAGGAAAGGGTCTGGGAAAAGGTGGAGCCAAGCGTCACAGGAAAGTGCTCCGTGATAACATCCAGGGCATCACCAAACCGGCCATACGTCGTCTGGCAAGAAGAGGAGGCGTCAAACGTATCTCCGGTCTGATATACGAAGAGACCAGAGGCGTACTCAAAGTGTTCCTCGAGAACGTCATCCGCGACGCGGTAACGTACACCGAGCACGCTAAGAGGAAGACCGTCACAGCCATGGACGTCGTGTACGCCCTTAAGCGTCAGGGACGCACCCTCTACGGTTTCGGCGGTTAAAGCAGCAGCAGCAGCCATATCCTCCGATATACACACACGAAGACGACGACGTGATATAAAGCAGCAAGTGAAGAGTGTGGTGGTGGTGGTGATGATGATGATTCCAGTGTGTCTCTCTCGTGTGGTGTGCAGATCATCCTATTATTCTGCCCCCCTCACCCGCCGCCCGACTGCCCGACACTTCCTTCCACTCACTCTCTCTCACTCTCCCTCACCCTCACCCTCACCCTCTCTCTACTTACTCGCTTTATATCACGACGCGTCATCGTTACTGTTGGGGAACGAGGAAAAAAAAGAAAAAAGGCCCTTTTCAGGGCCGCATATGTATCCGTTGAAATATTATAATTATTCACGATTATCGTGAATATCGAATATAGAGTTTCAACGACGGAATAATAAACTATATTATTATTTAATTTATAGTATATAATAGTAATAATATAAAAAAATCATAACTATCTCAACACACTTATGTTCTCATCACTCAAATCACCTATGGTCGTCGTCCATATCTTATGTTCTAAATATTATACACATATTACATACATAATATTTAACAGCATTTTAAATAAATTTAGATAATCGATACCTACTATTACTAATAATAATAATGATGATACACGTATGTACCTCTGTCTCTCTACGTGTACATTACATACATACATACATTGCATATTATAATATGTACAATCATCATTTCGATAATCGTATCATCATATTCATCCGCTGCTATCGTACAATTATACAATAATATTATTCATAATTATCGAAAATTATGTCCTTATATTATATAATACATAACATAACGAAGACAACAACCACTACGAAGACGATTATACTATGCATTCGTGTACGCGGCCTTTGCTTCTCTCCATACTCTAACATCCCGGTGTGTGTTTTACGAGACCAGACTTCGATGCCGCATTAACAGTTCATAGATAATAAAAGACGATGATTATTCCATGGGCCTGAAGGAGTGATGTCTTCGTTTTCAATTAATCGATATCACATTACGCTATACGCTATTCTAAATGAGAAAAATAACTTTTAAACGAGACGTTACCTACGTCCCGAAAGGTATATAGAATTCAAACGTCTATTAATCTATGCTAACTACGTTTATAAAGTTATTTATTGTTCACTACGAAAGTTAGTTTTAAGATTAAACATATTGCATCTTTAAATTTATATAAACATATATATTATATTAAATAAAACATATAAAACGGATGGATGTTAGTGAAAAGTTAGAAGTGTTCGTACGTGAAAATGTTTAGCGACAACACGGTTCTCGTTACGGCATACCCGATTGTTAAATAACTACTAGCGACATCTCCGGCTATCATCATAGTTATATTTGTTTATAAACTGTGTCTGTGTGTCTGTGTGGTGTTGTGACCTGCTGAGAAGAATAATAAAAATAAAAAAATAAAAAACATTAAAAAAATGGCAGATACCGCAGTTGCATCTGAAACACCGGCTCCGGCTACGCCTGCGAAGAAACCGAAAGCGTCAGCGGCCGCCGCCGCCGCTGCGGCCGGCTCGAAGAAACCTAAGGCTAAACCTACTCATCCCAAGACAGCTGAAATGGTAAACAACGCCATCAAAGAGTTGAAGGAGCGCAGCGGTTCATCGTTACAGGCTATCAAGAAATACATCGCCGCTCAATATAAGGTCGATACGGAGAAATTGGCACCGTTCATAAGAAAATATCTCAAGAGCGCCGTCGAGTCCGGTGCCCTGATACAGACCAAGGGGAAGGGTGCTTCCGGTTCATTCAAATTGGAATCTAAATCATCAGCAGCCAAGAAACCGTCGTCGGGTGGTGGTGGTGGTGGTGGTGGTAAGGCAAGTGGTGGTTCCGCCGGAACCGGTAGGGCTGCAGCTTCGTCGGCATCCGTTAAATCTAAGAAAGCCGCCGCAACGGCATCGGCGGTGGCAGCGAAGGGAGGTAAGAAAGGCGGTTCCGTAGCTTCGTCGGCTGCATCTTCGCCGTCCAAAGCTAAAGCATCGGCGGCAGCGGCCAGGGATAAGAAAGCGGCCGCAGCCGCAGCAGCAGCTGCCAAAAAGAAGCCGGCCGCCGCTAAGAAAGGTTCCGCAGCCGCGAACGCCTCTGCCGCATCCTCCGCGACAGCTTCTAAGGCGAAAGGTGCAGCATCCAAGGCCAAGAAGAGCGCCAAACCTCCCACTAAGAAACCTAAAGCCCCGAAACCGAAGAAAGCATCCGCCGGTACCCCGAAATCGAAACCCGCAGCTAAGAAAGCAGCAGCAGCAGCGAAAAAGTAATAATTTTTGTATTGCTTTATCTATCGCGACGGCGGCAGCATCGGCACCGTGAGTGGTGAGCGCGCTCGGGGGTTGTAGACTTACGATGATACAAGTTCATTATAGATAAGAGATTCTAGATCATCGGAATGTCTCTCGGCGTCCCCCCGTACTCTTCAACGTTCGAGGAATCTACGAGAGTGACGTTCATCTTACAGGCACGCGTCGCAGATACGAAAGAAAAGAAAAAAAAAATACATAATATATAAAAAGCCCTTTTCAGGGCTAACATATATTTCATTATGAACCCAATCATGTCGGAAACTTAGATTTCGACACAACGTTGTGTTCTCGTTTTCCGAATGACAAAGATCGTCTCCTATAATAATAATAATAATAATAATAATAAAATATATAAATAATAATCGAATACAAGATAACATTCACGAAAATAGCGAACAATTCAGTAATAATATTATAATACGATAATAACAAAGTCAGTGGTGGCCAATTGGTTAAAAGGCCGCCCGCCTCTCATGCATGAGGGCGCGGGTTCGACCCTGGCAAGAATGACCAATGTGATTTTTCCAAGTTATATATTATGTACTTTCTTAGAGTATTTAGACATCACTCACTGATTAATGTTGATTCCCAAAGAGGGTTGTTGATATCAGGCAGGCGGCCGGTCATACATATAAACAAATAGCCAAATTATTCTTATAACATGTAAAACAGACCCTGGCTACAGCTGGAAAATTGCCAGGTAGAAGAAGAATAACAATACTGAATACATAGTATTAGACATATTAAACATTCTTGTTATAAATAAATAAAGATATTATATTATGTTGTTAGTATTATAGAAAATATTAGTTACATTGTACATAGCAGTACATAATTTTGATAATAATAATAATGAAAAACACCATATAAAACATAATAATGTAACACTGGTGACAATTATTTTCTTTTAACTCACTTTTGGAAACCTTTATGACTCTTGTACCATTTACGATCGAGTAATCGAAATCTTCAATAAAACTATAAGGAATGTATAAAACTATACTTTAGTACTATAACTATAAGGAATATGTAAAACTAAACTGTGTTCAAGAAACGGTAAATAAGAATTTATTAGCTGCACAACATAATATTAAAGAAAAAGGATATCGTATATAAATTTAAGTATGAACATATATATATATATATATATATATATATATATATATATATATATATATATATATATATATATATATAATGCTATAATGCTTTTCCCGCATCTGCTGTGCCTAATAATTCAGATATTGACTAAAGCAATTCATTTGTTTTTTTTTGTCTGTTTTCAAAATATATGTAATTAATGAATATCTTAATTACACCATATGAATTGATAAATTCCGTTTTTATTTGATATACTTACGCAGTTTATTGAAATTTCATCGCGTACGATTATTTCATTGAATTTCAAGACAAAATACTATTATTTTTTTTAGTCTATAGTACGATCCTCTAAAAAAAATGTCAACACTGATTGGAAAACCCTCCCGCTTCTCTCCGCGTCTACTTTAGCTCGTCATTCGTCTATATCCCCACCCCACCGATACGTGTAGACGTATATATAGTAAAGAGCCGCGCTACGGTTTTTTTTTTTTTTTTTTTTTTTTTTTTTTTTTTTTTTTTTTTTTTTTTTTTTTGAGAGGGAGAAGAGAGAGAGAGATATTTCTCATTTCATTCCGTCACCGTCCTTCGTCCGGAAAGTCGCTTGTATCAAAGCGACTCTCTCCGGTCGAGGTCCTCACTCAATGTGTATTCCGAACATCGGAATATTCGACTGGAGCTCGCTGCTTCGTCACGGCCTTCGTTCCGACACTTTAATTGTGAAGTGTAGTGTGATTGAATAGTGTTGCAGTGTTCAGTGTTTTAAGTGTAGTGCTGAGTGTTTTATTACAGTGCTGTGTCATTTTAGTACATTTAAGTGCGTGTACTCAGTGCGCGTCGCGTCAAGCCAGACGTGCTAGGGCCGCGCCCCGTCACCCGTACGAGGTAGGTTGCTAGGCACACACCCCGCCAACACCAGGCGGGACAGTTAGGCTTTTAAGTAGGTACACATCTCCCTGCCGCAAGGCAGGGAGGATTTACGTTTGCGCTTTCTCTCTTTTTTCCTTTTCTCTTTTCCCTCCGGGTCAAAATGGACCCCAAGAATATTAAGATGTCCGACCTGCTTGAGTATCTCAAGCAGGACTACCCCGAGGCCCTCTTAGGCTTCGCTTCCAAGTCCCTGGTAGGCGCAGCCCGCCCTTCCAACGACGCCTCCGATATGGAGTACGATTCTGCCTCCTCGGAGGAATCCTTTTCCGGCTCCGAGTCCGGGTCTCGCGGCTCGGACTCAGAGGAGGATGCGACAGGCTTCCAACCTGTCGTATCTAAGAAAAAGAGACGAGCGAAAGCTTCCCAAGAGTCGGATGACGCAATCGAAGCGTCACAACGCGCAGCGTCCCCACGCTCAGCGTCCCCCCGCT